GAGACGCCGTCCTGTTTGTAACACTGAGTCACGTCGCCGCTCAACGTCTGTTTCCTCCTCCCCATGAATGAGGCGACCCCCTCCTCAAAGGAGTAAGTGCCTGGCACGGTCCAAGCCCCAAGGTGACGATACGAGCTCCCCGGCCGCTCGGGGAGCTAATTCATCCTCCGATTGTCTCCTACTACGTCACCCCCCTCCCCATCCGAGTTAACACCCGGGGACTGGAGCGTGGCTAGGAGGGGGTTACTAGCCCAAGTGAAAGGCTAGCCCCTGGGCGCGCAGCGCGCGGCCTGGCAGGTGCTGGGGACCTGGGACCTCGGGGAGCGCGCCCCCACCCCAACCAGGACAGAGGGGACCGCGGCAGGGCGGCCGGGGACGTCGCCGAGTTCCCGGGGGTGGCCTCCCGCCCCGCCGGCGGCCCGGCTGGAGAGGCTGCCCCGGGCCGGCCGGACCTCGGCGCTGCCTCCTCCCGGCAACAAGTGTCCGCCCTCCGCCCGACGGCCGCCCCAACCGGCCCTCACCCGGCACAGGCCGTCCACGAACACGCGCGGGTCCAGGTGGCAGGCGATGGTGGCGCTGGGCAGGTCCTGCAGGTCCACCTCCTCCATCTCGCAGTCGATGAAGCTCCAGTCGCCGCCGCCCTCCTCTGCTTCGGCAGCCCTCGAGAACGGCGCGAAGGGCCGCAGCGTCACCCCGGGCTGCGCTCGCGCCTCGGCCGCCGCCCCGAGCCGGGGCCCGGCCAAACCGTCCTCCATCCCCGCGGCCTTGCGACCCCGCTGGCTGTGCCGGGCTCGCGCGGGATCCTCGCGCTCTCCCGTCCGCCGACTGGGCGGTTAACCTCCTCGGGCTTGCGTCGCAGCGGGCTGCGGTCGCCACGGCTCCCGGAGACGCGGCCTCGGAGTGCCAGCCCCGCCCGCCGCCGTTCCGCTCCGCGCCCAGCCCGCCCGGCAACGAGGGCGGAGCTCCGGCGGATTTAGACGTGGGCCCTTTAAGGCCGGCCCACGTGGGTCACTTTCCCCCGCCGTCCGGAAGAGAAAGCGAATAGAGGATCGGGATTCTTCTCACGTGATCCTCATTCTGCCGCCCTCAGCCTGAAGCCTCAGGGCGGCCATGTTGGTTAGGGGCAAAGGTCTCTTCAGCCAGTTCCGCTTTTCTGACATCCGATGCCAGCTGAAGGCGCCAGGCAGTGTCTTGGGCGCAGGGTTAATAGCTGGAGAATCAGCGCTTCTGTGGTTCCCATGGGTGACGTTTTTGAGGCACATAGGCCAACTTTGGGGGATTTAAACGAGATATAGTCCTGGCTGTGGCCTTTGGCAAGTGGTAAGATACTTACCGTATATTGTCAGATATAGCCGCAATAGTGAATTGAAGGAGACCGTGGTTAACAATAGCTTACTTTATTTTTAAAATTAATTTTTATTGGAGTATAGTCGCTTTACAATGCTGTGTTCGTTTCTTCTGTACAGCAAAGTGAATCAGTTATATGTATACGTACATCCACTCTTTTTCAGATTCTTTTCCCATGTAGGTCATTACGGAGTATTGAGTAAAGTTCCCTGTGCTATACAGTAGGTTCTCATTAGTTATCTATTTTATATATAGTAGTGTATATATGTCAATCCCAATCTCCCAATTCATCCCACCCCCCTGCGACAATACCTTACTTGTAGATTTTAGCTTATTAGTCATTATATCATTGTTCAAATTTTATATAATCAGAAATACTTTTTTTGAGTTACTACTATGTACTGTGTACAATATGAGCTAACGAAAAAAGTAAAACCTTGGTCCTTTCCTTTGGGGAGTTTATAGATAGAAAACGGAGGTCCTCTAATAAGTGTCTCTCTCTCTCCCTCTCCGCCTCCCACCTTTCCTGCAAAATAGAATTCCTTCACTGTGAAGGGCAATGTGGTTCAGTGAAAATCTGAGTCTAAATTTCAGCTTTGCTGTTAATTACTTGGACAAGTAAGCTGAATCTCAGTTTCCTCATCTGAAAAATTACGTCATATATGGTAAGAATACAGTAAGGGCCCAATAAACGGCGGTACTCTTTATGTGTAGGTGTCTTTGGAAGACATGAAATTAGACCTGTATTTTCTCCTAACGTAGGCCTCTAGTTAGGAACTGTAGTGATTATAATAAAAACTTTATCCAACTAAGAGCTGAGCTTTACTCAGAACCTGCCGTGTGCTGTGGTTGCTATTCTGACAATCTCAGTGCAGTTCATGCACTTCAGGAGTTTAAATCCAAGGCGAGTAGTGGTATGCATGCAGAGATAACTCATGAAAGAGAATGTGCTACAAGGATCTTGAGAAATTGGAACCATTACATATTGCTGGTGAGAATGTAAAACTGTGCAGCCAATTCAGAAAAACAGTTTGGCCATTCCTCAGAAAGTTAAACATAGAGTTGTCGCATGACCCAGCAATTCCTCTCCTGGGTATCTACCCAAGAGAAATGAAAGCATATGTCCACACAAGAGTCTATGTAGGGGCTTCCCTGGTGGCACAGTGGTTGAGAGTCCGCCTGCTGATGCAGGGGACACGGGTTCGTGCCCCGGTCCGGGAGGATCCCACATGCCACGGAGCGGCTGGGCCCGTGAGCCATGGCTGCTCAGCCTGCGCGTCCGGAGCCTGTTGCTCTGCAACGGGAGAGGCCACAACAGTGAGAGGCCCGCGTACCGCAAAAAATAAAATAAAATAAAGTCTATGTAGGAAGGTTCATAGCCCCATTATTCACAGTAGCCAAAAAAGTAGAAATAACCCAAAAGTTCATCAACTGATGAATGGGTAAACCAGATATAGATCCATACAATGGAATATTATTCAACCATTAAAAGGAATGAAGTGCTGATACATGCTACAACATGAACGAACGCTGAAAATGATGGTAAGTGAAAGAAGCCAGTCACAAAAGGCCACCTGTTGTATGTTTCCATGAATATGAAATGTCCAGAGTAGGCAAATTCATAGAGACAGGAAGTAGGTAGTGGTTGCCAGGGACTGGGGGAATAAAGAAGGGGGAATGAGAAATGGAATATTTCCTGCCATATCAGTAAACAAAAGATGGCACAGTCATCAGCGATTGCAGCTCTCCAACATGAGCTGGTAAACCCTGAGGAAACTCAGCAAGGAAAGAATACCTGCCATCTGACAGCCATCAGACTGCAGCCACTCCCTACGGTGAGTCCTGAGGAAACTCAGGATGTGAAAACAGAGGATACTGGCCCCAGATAGGATGATAGCATGTCAAAGGAAAGATTTCAGTGAGCCCAGACTCTTGCATCTTCTCATACTTAGAAAAGCACTAAATTCATTAGCTTGGATTGTGGTGATGTGTGTACAACTCCATGAATATACTACCCGTCACTGAATTGCACTTTAAAGGCAGAATTTTATGGTATGTGAACTGTATCTCAATGAAGCTGGTATTTACGGAAAAGAAAATGTAATAAAGGCCATCAGGAGTTAGATGAAGTGTGGCAGAGTGGGTGACATCACAGAATATAAAACTCTCTGAAAGCTCAGCCAGACATTCTGAAAAAGCTAACAAAGGGGATGAGGCACCACTTATTTTTTTCTTTTCTTTTCTTTTTTTTTTTTTTTTTTTTTTTTGTGGTACGCGGGCCTCTCACTGTTGTGGCCTCTCTCGTTGTGGAGCAACAGGCTCCGGACGCACAGGCTCAGCGGCCATGGCTCACAGGCCCAGCCACTCCGCGGCATGTGGGATCTTCGCGGGCCGGGGCACGAAGCCGCGTCCCCTACATCGGCAGGTGGACTCTCAACCACTGCGTCACCAGGGAAGCCCCTCAGGCACCACTTTTGAAAAGTAACACCCAGCCAAACCATGGCCGGGTTGGTCTGTGTTGTCATCACCCTTAGGACAGCAAGCTCTTTCAATCCCGGCTTTTCCTAGACCACTGACGCAAGCAGACTGGGCCTGGTGGACAAAAAGTACAAAGGAAAGAAACTGAGCTAAGAGAGGGAAGAGCAAGTTCCACCTGTAATTGACTTTGGAATGCTATGAGTCATCGCGAAGACGCAGAGTGTTCACACATTCCTCCAGTGACTTCGGAGTCCCACTTTTCTCTCTCTCCTCTCCCTCCGCAGGCAGCAAAGTGAACAGGGTAATGTCGTGTAGCTGTTTGTATGTCTGCAGTAATAACATCAATTTTATTTGGGTGGCTCTTAAATAGTTAACGGGGGTACACCTAAACTAGCTCACCTCGTTCTCACAAACAGCGAATATTACTCCAGATTCTTAGAACTGAGGCTCCAAGAAATGTAGTGACCTCCCCATAAGCAAACACACAGCAAATGGTGAAGCAGGACACCAGCTTTCTTTCTCTCATCCCAGCACTGCCTCTGCCCTTTGGGACTATAGGAAACAGAAAAGGGGAAGGAACCAAAGCAAAATGGTGGAGGACAGGGAAAATAAAGCAGAGACAAAGAAGGGGAAAGGGAGAGGTAAGGGGATTGAGAGCAGAAAGTAAGAGGTTCAGGCAGTTCAAAGTGATGGGCCAGGCAGGGCCCACTCTCACACATGCAGGGCCAGGGCTGTGTGAGCTGTTTGAGACAGACAGAGCTCTCAAAATATCAGAGCAAAATGATGGAAGCTCTTGTCTACTGAAAAAATAATTCACAACCTAAAAGTTGAGAATTGTGTTTTATTCAGTGGACATACTGAGGACTTAAGCCAAGGATTTGCTCTGAGGGACAGTTCCAAAGAGGTAAGGGAGGATCCAGGATATAAAGGAGTCTTTACAAAAAAGACCAGGTAGTTGGAACATCGAAAGATTACTCTTAAATCAAGAAAACCAGACGTGTCGAGTTAAAGAATTGATCACTTTTCTCTATGTGGGAAGATGCAAGAATCTGGGCTCAGTGCAATCATTCCTTTGATATGCCCCTTAGCTATCTGGGGCCAGTATACTGTGCTTTCTCATTGTGAGTCTCCTCAGGGGGCACTGTTGGGGGTGGCTGCAGCCTGATGGCTTGATGGTGGGCATCCTATTTCTATTATGCGTTCCCTCAGGGCTCACCTTTGGGGAGGTTGTAATGTGATGGCTTGATGGCTGCAACATTCTTTGTTTACTGATACGACAGGCAACATTTTTCCACTGACACTCTCAATAAATAGGATTAGCATCATGCCTTCCACATCTGGGTGCCCAAGGTTCTTGCCCTACCGCAGAAGACATCTTTAGTAATAAAATGTCAGATCCTCCTTTCCGTCTAGTAACTTCTGTCTTTGAGAAAAGCAGATGCTGTGTCTTATGCCTTCACCCACTGACTCTAACAATTAACATCAGCAGTCAGTGGTCTCTCCCAAGGAGGAAAAAACAGAAAATATGAGCTGTAAACAGCACAGGCAGAAACGAAGCAAAACGTGCTACTTAAGTATGAGTGTAGACATCTCTGTTTTTTCTTTTAGGGTTTTTCTTTTTGGCCACACCTCTTTGCGTGCGGGGATCTTAGTTCCCCAACCAGGGATCAAACCTGCGCCCCCTGCAATGGGAGCTCGGAGTCTTAACCACTGGTCCGCCAGGGAATTCCCAAGTGCAGACATTTTTAAGGATGAAATCAGTTAAACTTGAGAGGGTAATCTTTTAAGAGCTATTTCACCATAACACAGATACAAAATTCCTGAAGCATCCTTTGGGAATTCTTAGCTGTCCCCTCTTCTTCTAACAGTGGCAGTGGAATCTAAGATTTGTCCTTGCTTCCTGCTTTGGCCTCTAACCAGCGAGCCTTTC